GCCCAGGTGAGGAAACAGGTCCACAGAGGGGTCAGGTTTTTATCTTCTGGCTCCACAGCTCACATCTCTTTCCTCCTTGAACAACTGAGTTGTTTTCTCTGCTTTATATTTATTGTCTCTAATTTGGTGATAATTAAACCATTTTGAATATACACACTCAGAATCAGCTTGGAAATTTTAAACAGTCATTACATTTTTCATTATAACCTTGAATAGTTAGTTGCAAAGAATATATGGTAACTGTTTGGAGTTGCTTTTTTTTTTTGGTCTTTTTGAAGCAGGGTCTCCCTGTAAGCCCCAGCTGTCCTGGAACTCACTATGTAGGCCAGGGTGGCCTTGAACTCACAGAGATCCGCCTGCCTCTGCCTCCCAAGTGCTGGGACGACAGGTGTGCACCATCACGCCCAGCTTGGAGTTGCTTTTTAAAAAAATATTTATTTAGCCAGGCCTGGTGGTGCACGCCTTTAATCCCAGGACCTGGGAGGCGGGCAGATCTCTGAGAGTTTGGGGCCAGCCTGGTCTCCATTAGCAAATCCAGGCCAGCTGCAGCTATGGGGAGACCTTGTCTCAAAAAGACCAAAAAAAAAATTATTTATTTCTTGTGTGCGTGAGTACCTATATGTATGTATGCATGCCATCTGTGTGCTGGTGGAGGCCAGAAGAGGGCACTGGATCCCCTGAAGCTGGATAACAGGTGGTTGTGAGTCAATGTGTGGGTGTTGGGAACTGAACCTGGATCCTCTGCAAGAATAGTAAATGCTCTTAACTACTGAGCCATCTCTCTAGCCTCTGTTTTCTTTGTTTTGTGACAGGGTTTCATGCAGCCCAGGCTGTCCTTGCTATATTGTTGAACTTGCTATGTTGTTGAGGCTGGTCTTCCTGCCTCTACCTCCCAGGTGTTGGAATGACAACATGCCCAAGCCCTGATCAATGCTTGTTCTGGTTTGTTCTCTTCATTGCTGTGAGAAAATACTCTGACCAATACCAACTTGGGGAGGAAAGGATTTATTCAGCTTATCATCTCTCAGGTCGCAGTTTATCAGAGAGCCCAAGGTAGGAACTCAGGGCAGGAACATGGTAGCAGGAGATGGAGCACAGGCCATGGAGGAACACTGCTTACTGGCTTGCTCCCTTGGCCCCTGCTCAGCCTGCTTTCTTATG